GAACCGTTCCAGCAGCGGGCAGAGAGCGGAGTTTATTCCTTCAGTCATCGGAGTGTTTTGCCATAAGTCACTGTCGCAGCTTTCGAAAATATATTCTGGATTTTTAGGGTTTCCTTTTTTCGTTTCTCTTTGCTTGTTATCCCTAACTCCGAATTTGCAACTGAATTACCTCTTGAGTTCATTTTGACCACATCTCTTCTAGCCCAAATAACCCTCCCCCCTCCCTGACAGCCCCCCCGGTATTTTCCCTAGACTTAAAAGAACTTTTATCAAATGACAGCTTGCCTTCCTTGGCCATCAATGAGCCATTTTTTCCATCTCCACTCATCCTCGGGAAGGTTATCGTCAGTGCCTTTACGCTCAGCAGATACAGTGAGAGATGCCGGCGGTGCCAGCAAAGGCCGATGACTTACCAGAGAGGTGCTGCCACCTTTCAGAAGGGCGCCAGTGACATTATCAAGGCGAACGAGGAGCAGGGAAGCCGACGGGCTGAGCTGTGCCCGAGCGAAGGTGGGGTTTCTCTGGAACTCCCAGGCATCCTAATCTCCTTCTATTGTTTGCAAGGCCCTTGGCCTGAACAACACAGAGCTATGTGGTCTGGGCGACCGTCCCATCAAAGGGAAACTGCATTATGACATCCTGAAAGGTTAGCCTTTAGACTCCAAAGGGAGCTCATTCATTACCCTCTCTCCTTTCTGCTCACTGAAAAGCCCGTGGCCCCCTGCATTATTTGATGTGCTTCCTGAACAAATCCCTGAGATGGGCCCATTGAGAACCCTCAGCAGTGTTCTTTTAGAAGACAGGGGAGGTCCAAAAAGTCAAACATAATACTGTTGTGAATAGGCGTGCTTTAACATCATGTAGGGTTGTTTTTGTAATCATGAATCACAGTAAGAGCAGTACTGGACTGCATAATGCACATATGTTACCAGGTCAAGGTATTTGCTGTAGAGCACCTGCTGTTATGAATACATCCACGCCTTTTTCTATAGGTGTGGAAGCAGTTACTTGCCCTCAATAGCGACACTCATGGATGAAAATGTTGTTTATTCTCCAACAACATTGTATGAAGTGAATAATCAGTTTCGCTTTGTGTTCTTGGATGTTCAGGGATGTGACACTGGAGTTGGGGGGGGGAGATTGCAAACACTGTCGTGCCCTACCCCCTCCAGCAGGTGGTGCTGTTGAGGCAGAGTGCCCTGGACAGGTCAGTGGAAGGTGATGCAGACCGTGCCCGTTTCAAAAAGCCACTTGGCGTTTAATTGGTACCTTCACCATAGCTCACCACTGGGTATCCGGAGGTGGCCCATACACAACGTCTACATGAGATAGAGTGCCCTTTACTGAGCGAGGTGAAGCATGAAGCAATCCAGCATCACAGAATGCTAGTATTGAAGCATTGTCCAACCCAATTGTGGTTTGATTGTCGGCTTGTGGTTACTGGTTTAGGGTGTCTAAGTAGG